CCTCAGTCTCCCCTCATTACATTGTATCTAATCAATCTACTTTTCTAACTAAAATTTGAAGTAGAAAACAAAGACAACAACAACAACAACAAATTTCCGAATGATAAAAGTTTTAGAAAAAACTGAGTTTACAATTCGCCATAATTTTTTGAAAACATCGTATTCCATATCTCAGAAACAATCCTTTCATAGCTAAAAAACCCTGAATAAGCAAATGTTTCATAGCTCATGTTAATCAAAATAAAAATTTGAAAACTGAATCAAAACATTTCGAAAACTGCTAAAAATTAGAAATCATTCAGTGATTTCGAAGGTAGCCTACAGCGAAAAATTCAACGAAATTTAACAAGAACAAAATTTTACCAAAATCTGAACCAAACTGTTGCAACCGAACTTCAGTGATTTCAAAGCATTACAAAAAGCGAAAGATTCAAACTAAGTTAATGTGACGCCTAAAATTAGAATAGAAAATTAGAAGGTAAGAACTGTAGAAAAGTTCAAAAAAAAGCTTCCTTTTAAACCAGGAGTTTGAAAAACAACATATGAAATACGTTAGACATATAACAGTCTGTTTATAAGCTCCAACTGCAATGATCAATGAGTTGAAAACAAAGAAGAGCACAGACCTCAAACCTCCAGCGTTCAACGACAACATCGCATTACCGTCACAAAAAGCAGTGCCATTAATTGTAAGCCAAAATAGAGCCAACATAAACTGGTTTTTTAGCCAAATAACGCTAACCTAGAGAAAGACCAGAACAAAGCAAGGAAAATTAGGTGCAGCCAAAAACGCAATTCAACCAGAATTATCTGACAATAGATTTCAAAATGACCACGATAAATTTGAATCCCTAAAGTTTGGCGGCTAAAAGAACCGTAACAGTGCAGCTCTCTTCCTTGCACTATTGTGCAGCTGCGCAGCCTCCCAAGCTGTAAACTGCCGAACCTTTCATTCCATTTCCCAACTTTCTTCCATTCAATGTACCTATTACAGATCAAATTCATACCTTCATTTCTCTTTTTGTTCTCCGCATTAGCTATTAGCGTTTAAATGTCATCAAAAAAATCAAAGAGGTCTGTGAACAATGAAATCTTTGCAAACCATATGCCAAATTCATACGGCCGTTTTTTTCATTTAAACTTTGACAGCCAAAAAAAAATGCTTTAAATCAGCTCCAAACACTGAAGACTAATAGAACAAAAATTTAACTGAACAAAAATTCTATGATTTGAGCGCGCAACAAAAAAGTATAAACAGAGCTAAATCTTCAGGTATTTCTTGTGAGCTTTTACAGGTCATCTACTGCATCCAACTACTTAATATCCCAAAATCCTGGGTATAAAGGGCCGTAATAATTGACTAATTCACGTTTTCTTTTTTTGGTGAAATTTACCCAAACAAGAATTTTTGAAGCAAATAGTGAACTGCAAAAATGAGCAAAGCAACAACAGTAAAGGCTGACAATGGAAAACCAAACGACTATATACAGCTTTGCAACAGATTGCCAGTTCAACAGTCTCTGGCTGTGCCTGTTTCTGAAATTATTCTGTTTAGTCTATCATGCAGAAAAAGAAACCATGTATTATCAAAAAATAGTTTTAGACGATGAACAACGAGTTAAGAAACCCCTGTAGGACGAAAAATTTAGTTATATGCTGAGATTCGGAGAACAAAACAAATAAAAAAAAGCCAAAGAAAAATGGATCATCACCGAGGGACGATCAAAGCCGTTCCAAAGCAATAAAAGAACAGAAAGTAGAAAAAACAAATTTAATTTTCTGCAATGACTGAATTTTAATGATAAAAATAATACAGTTCCGCGCAACAATCGTTAAACTCCAAGACAATTTTCATAATCAAATTTCATACTGAAAGAATGAGAGGGCAGATAATTCCGCTATGCACTTTTTTTTTTCCTAATCCTCAATTAGCTGGTAAAGTTGAAAAAAACAAGTTCCAACTAACTGCACGAAAAACATTGATCGTTAGAACTCTATTTGGCAAATGAATTTTTTCGCCACTGTACAATTACCATTCCGTCCCACACCGCAACTGCAGCAGATTCATCACTGATACGTACATTTTCTAAATATTAGCAGAACAAAATCACCATCGTCCCGATTATCGACGTCGCCCGCCTATGCGACGTCAGTGACCCGACCATAACCAAGTCAGTCGGCAATATTAATGCAGAAGGATGAACAATACACATGGTGCGAATAGCAATGGAAAGCATTGCCGTCACTGTCACTAGTAGCATCAGCAACAGCATCAGCATGAACGAAAACAGCAACAACAGTAACAACGACAACGGCAAAATTAAATATTCAAATCATGAATTTCTGCGCGCGCGAGCCATTGATTTTGGCATCGCAGCCCATTTCCCTGTACTGCAAAACCACTGACGGCAGCAACGCAGTTGTAGTCCCCTGTGCCTCCACGGAGATCAATTAGTGGCATCTGTATGTAGCATCTGCTTGATCGGTATGACGAAGAAAGTGGTTGAGACCGGTACTGCGTTAGGTTCTTTCGCAAAACTAACATGCTTGTGTGTCATCAGAAGTAGAGTCTGCTAAAAAGTATCATTGAACTGAATACTATGGTTTACGGTTCTGTTTCGCGTCATATGTTACAGGACTGCTGATATTAAACCGGTCTGCAAATGCATTTTGCATAAAATCGGTATCGTTGACACAAGTGATACATATTTTAAAGGTTTAATTGGGCGTAAGTTTGTCTTTCTATTAGGTATATTGGTTGTTTTATTTTCCTGGAAACCATTCGAGACTATTTAGAATGGAAGGGATATCCGAAAGAAAAACATCAAAGCAACTACTTTACCGCTGTAAAGGCGACAGGAGCAAGGCAAAGAAAGCAAAAAAATTTTTCTTCGATACTATTTGGCCACTAAAAATTGCAAAGCTGCTTCTTTGTTCTGTCGGTTGCAGAAATAAGTTGTTGGGGATTTATTGTCTGAATTTTATGGCTTTAAATAAGTATATGGCTTGAAAATCAAGACTTATTCAGTTTATTGTGATGAAGAGAGATGCTGGTATAAAGAGTTGAATATCAATTACAAGTCTGTGTAATGGTTTAAATTTGGAAGTCTTAAAAATTGTTCGTTTTACATAAAAATATTGCTCTATTTTTATTCAAAGATCTTATAAAATTTAACGCTCATCCACAGAGGTTTCGGTATCGCAGTGATGTTCAGCGACTTGTTTCATTTCCCGACGTAATTATCGACTCTGCAACACGTTTAAAAAAAACATTAATTTGATTTGTTTTTAGCCAATACTGTTCACTCATTTATTGTTGAAAGAAATGATGGCATGGAACTTGTCAACTAAACAAAGGAGAGTACCAACGTTTTTGCTCTAAAAGTATGTTTTAAACGATATTTTTTCAAGACAGTTATTTACGTGGAAGAAATGTAGTGGAAGTGAGAATAATACGTTCAATTCGTGTCAGCCGTCTAATATGCCAAGTTTTTTTTTTTTATTTTTTTTTTTATTTAACTGTTCTTTCATTTTTTTTTTT